GAAGGCGCTTTATAACTTAAAGTGCCGTCCAGATCAAAGCCCCAGAGAATTTTTAATAATTCTTAAAAATGCATACTCCGTGGCCCAAAGGAAACCCAGGTATGAAAGCACAGACTTCAAAGATCTGTATTTTCATGCCATGCCAGTAAACATACAAATGAATCTCGCAAGAGATTACGATTGTAAGTTACCATTAGAATGGCTAGTCAGTCAGTGCATGAAGTTGTATACTATACACCATGCACATGACGAAAATCAGCCAAAGGTTAAGAAACCTGGTGATAAAATGGTGTCAGAGACTAAAATTCAGTCAGGTTTAGAAACCCAACAGAAAAAGAGGACCTATTCCGAGGTTTTGAAAACTCCAAAACCTCAGAAACAGGAAAATGCCAGAAGCAATTCTGCAAATTCCTCTAATAACTCTGTAAAATCCAATGCCAATGGGAATAAACGCCCCTGGGTTAATAAGAACCAAGGCAATTCCCAATGGAGAAGGAATCCTCAGGGAAATAGGAGATATGGAAACAGAAATAACCAATCTGCTTCCAATAACTCCCAACAGTCTCAGCCATCCCAGCCAAATTCTAATGGGCAAAGACAAAACGGCAATGGGGGAAATAATTTGCGTCGTCAGGTTGGTCAATTGACAGACCAGATGGGCAAATTAATGGAGGGAATGACAAAGATTAACGAAGTCTTTGCCAGAAATCCTTTTTTAGGGATAGCTCCAATTGCAGAACTACCTGTGCAACCGCAGCAACAACAACAGGTGCCGCAGCAATAATAGCCACTGTGACTAAACAGGCTAGGTTATCAGTAGATGTAACACCTAACCCTGTTTCCTTTCCAGGTACTCATAGTCAAACAAACAATAGTTGTGTTAGAAAACCTATTGCCTATACCGTCACTTCACTTCCGGGTGAAGGAGGCGCAACGTGTTCCTCTGTTTTTTCATTTCAGCCAAAGGCTAAAGTAGCCCCAGCAGCCACTAGTTTCCAGGATCCAGACCTGAAAGGGTTAACTGATGAGATGCCGACCACTAGTTCCCGCTTGACAGTTCAAGTTATTCCTAAAAAGGATGGGCCTGTGGGTAAGACTGAGCATTCCTCAGTACAGGTAGAAACTACTGCTGTGACCGGTAATGTATGGAAAACAAGTAATATGTTGACACATTCTAAATTCTTATGTGAATTAGAAGAACATGAAGGAAGGTATTACATGTCTGTAGAAATACAGGATTCGCTACCCTAGCCTTTTAAAGGGTTAATAGATACTGGTTCACAAGCCACTATCTTATCCAATACCTACTTCCAGCAGGTAATGGACTTAGCAACGGATAAGCCGAAGCTAAGAGGTTTCCCCAATGCTCTGTTGAGTGTAGGAGGAAATGCCCTTCATGTTATTGGCAATACCTGGTTAAAGTTTAAAATAGGTAACAAAACCTTTAGACACCCGGTGATAGTGGTAGATCTCCCCTATGACCGACTGATTCTGGGTATAGACATACTCAGAAGACTTAACACAATTATTGACTGTGTGAATGGAATTGTATGGTCACAAGCTAAGGTTCCCATAACCTATGAGAGATCACATGTACAATCTGATCGTAACTGCCATGTGATAGAAGAAAGACCTGACTCGATTGAGGTACATTTTAGAAATAGTCAGTCGCCTGACGTGACTATCCTGCAGGTGAATGATGCAATCGCACCTGTAGATGAGCATTCCATAAGAATTGCTCCAGAGAGGATCCAGAATGTCTCTCTGGAAGGTGATGTTTTAACTATTTCTCTCCACAGGGACTATGTTGAATCTGTAGATCTGGCAGGTCATGCTCAATTCCTTGCCAGAATTGAAAGGGTTAATAACAACTTATTCTTTCCTATGCAAATAAATGACTTAGGAAGAAGTAGGAATGCAAAGCTGGACTTACAGAGTGAGAACAGCTATATTAGCAGAAGTCTGTTAAAGCAGATAGCTAATCCTAAAATGATCAGGTACGCTTCCCCACATGACAGGTGGATCCAGAATCTGGATGGCGAATCAGAGAGTTACAATGTGATAGCAAAATGTTTACTATCTATTTCCATCGGAAATAAAACAGTTAAACATTTATTCCTAGTGATAGACGAACCTCGCTATCAGGTTTACGTTGGCAATGATGTCATACATCGCTTTGCCATACACCTTGACCTGATTAATTCCAACTTGTGGACAAGGTTAACAGGTAATCCTTGTGGATACCTACACGAGGAAAACGCCCTGAAATCAGGACAAATACTCCCATATGCGGTAAGTATCCAAGTTCCTGATGACATAACCATTCCCCAGGGGACAAGTAACTTTCTTTTACCCCTACAGGTCAAGGAGGGTCAGAGATTGGAAAACTCTGATGCCCTAATCTGTTTATCCAACAGGATACAACAATTAGGGATGGTGGTAACACATACACCAATGGTAAGTATTGGTAAGAATCCCACCTATATCATGGTCAACAATGTTACACCCAATAGTGTTACTTTACCAAAAGGAACATTATTAGGTCTAGCATTGGATGCTGAGTACTATACATTTGGTTTCCAAAACCAAATTATAGGCCTCATCCCTGAAGAATACTTAACTGAGGACGAAATTGTCGATCAAATATTCCATTCCTCCCCAGAAGGATTATTCATTATCCTATCTGTATATCCCTTCAACGTCGAAGAAGGCTCGTGTAAAATCGAAGAAGCATCTATCACCTTCGATCATCCGCTCAATGAGCAGGAATCACAAGAGTATCACGACCAAAGAGGAAAGGTAAGTCAACACCGAACTGACCTAACTTCTAGGCTTGAAGAAGCTTATGAGATAGGCCAGCCTGAAATCTTTCCAGGATTTCAGGAAAGACTAGAAGAGCAAATATCTTTAGCTGACGGTTGCTCCAACGATGCTGAGCGGCAACAGCTAAAGGAAATCCTTTTGGAATTCCAAGATATTTTTGCCAAAGATTCCTACGACTGTGGGTTAACAAACCTCCACGTAGCCAGAATACAAACTGATCCAAATTTACCACCTGTATTTATCAAACAATATAGACTCCCATTAGCGTCATATGATGGTCTACAAGACATCATTCAGAATTTAAAGGAAAGGGGCATTATACGTCCAGTGCACAGTTCGTATAATAATCCGATCTTGGGGATTCTGAAACCTAATGGACAATGGCGTTTATGCGCTGACTTACGACAGCTAAATAAACGCGTCTATATGTCTGGTTGGCCAACGCCATACACAGACCAATGTTTGGTACAAATGCAGGGATCCAAAATATTCACTGCCATTGACTGTGCGCAGGGATATTGGACTGTACCAGTCCATAATGAAGACCAATACAAATTGGCCTTCACATTTGGAAAGCAGCAGTATACCTGGACCCGTATGCCTTTCGGTTACATAAACTCTGGTCATGAATTCGCTGTGTTCATGCATAAAGCTATGCCTGACGCACTCGAGAGAGGAACGTTATCATATGTCGACGATGTCTTGCTGAAAAGCACTTCCTTTGATAAGCATATCTTAGAGATTAGACATGTTCTCACTCAGTTAAGAGAGGCAGGGATTAAACTGTCTTTACAAAAGGTGCAATGGAGTCAAGAAGCTACTAGTGATGACCTGATTACTAGTCAAAAGAATGATCCCGTCATAGGCATATTCTATAAACATATAGAAGACCCTACTGCCAATCCCATCACAGATGAGGATTGCAAAAATAATGAAGATTTACGAATCTTGATGAGATATAAAGTCCAATTTAGTATCATGGATGGGTTACTGGTCAGAACTTCTAAACATGGTATACAACAATGGGTAGTCCCAACTGTATACAGAGGGTTAATGCTCCAACACGCACATGATGCACCTACATCTGGGCATCGTGGTGATAAGATCACATATGAGATATTGCGTGATTATGCATATTGGCCACACATGTTAAGGGATGTTAAGACATACTGTCAGGGATGCTTGATTTGTCCGCAATATCAACCCCATGGTCCAACCCATCGTGCACCACTTCAGAAGAGGGGGGTGTCATTACCCTGGTCTGATATTCAAATTGACTTTATAGGTCCTGTAACAAGATCTTCAAGAGGTAACAAATACATGTTAACTGTTACATGTATGTACACAAAGTGGATAGAATGTTTGCCTTGTAAAGAGAACACGAGTACCGTGTGCGCCACTTTGTTGATTAACCATGTCTTTTCCAGGTTCGGTCTGCCTCAAAGAATTGAGTCAGATAGAGGTAGTCATTTTACCAGCGAAGTAATGGCTAAGATGTGGAACATTCTAGGTGTTAAACGAAAGCTACATATTGCATACCGCGCTGCGTCTAGCGGGGGGGTAGAGCGATATAACCAGTCTATCGTTAATATTCTGAAGAAGTATGTTAAGGAGTCTGGTAAAGACTGGGACATTAAATTGCCCCTAGTTTTAATGGCGATTAGAGCTACACCTAGCACTGCTACCAAATTGTCACCTTTTGAATTGATGACAGGAAGAAAGATGGTTTTACCACAGCATTTACTATATCGTACTTCGGATCATAACTTGATCAATGCTGCCACTACGCATCAGTATATCGAAGATTTGCGCAAGCATTTACAGCATGCATTTGCTTTTGCCCAAAAGAATCTAGAAAAAGCAGCGACAGGGGTTAAGACCTATTACGATTTAAAAACCACGAAAAAGGAATATGAGATAACAGATCAAGTCTATCTGTATAACTTTGCGCGAAATCAAGTAAAGGAAAAGACATTTTTACCTTCTTGGAAAGGGCCATATGTCATCATTGACAAAATTTCCCCAGTAGCGTACAAGATAAAAATTCCTAAGGATGGTGATTTTATTGAAAAGTGGGTTCACATTAACCAGTTGCGTGCTTGTCATCCTAAATCTCAATTAAGGATTATAGGTGTGGATTCGGATGCAGAAGGGTGAACGACTAACCTGGATGAATGCTTGATTCATGTGGTATAGTATGATGTGAAATGTTGTGATGTGCCATGATCTCATGTACGTTCATGTCATTAACCATTTCCTTGCCATCCAATAACTACATTTTATAAGCAGGTTACTAGCTTGTTTAACTGCTATAGGCATATTGCTGAGGAGTCAGTAATGAATGTAGTGAGGGATGAAGTTATAAAAATAGAATTAGACAGAATACATATGTGATGAATCGTAAAAATGTGTTGTCCTAGGCCAAGTGATGTCACACTGTTATAAGTTTGTATGCTTAACAAACCTTGAATCATTAGTAGATAAGTCTGAAACGAGTTCCTGATCCGTGACTGTCGAAAGATGTCCAAGAAGGATGTGGCGTGTTTCTGGATCGTACTGCTCCTGTGCCAAGAGCTATGGACCGACCCGATCGCAGAGATGGGACCATCCTCCGGCATCCTGATTCAAGAGACACCAGGGTTCATCTTAACGGAGAAGAGGATCCTGACCCGACGTGTGTTCGTCAGCTTGGACCCCAAGATTTCCATCGAGAAGGCATACAACATTTCATCGATGCAGCTTCCTGAGTTACAGACTTGGTACCAGATGCACCTCCAAAGAGCACAGGACCGTGTGCGAAACATCTTGGAGCAAGCCCGGAAACCATTTGTATCCAGTTCTATTCCGATGAGCAACCGACCCAAAAGGTTCCTCACCGCTATAATTGTTGCATTAGTTTGTGCCACTGTCGGTGCAGTTGTCGCAACTGGAATGTCTGCAGCCAACTCTATTACTGTCCAAAAGCTGGATATGGAAATCTATGCGCTAAAGCAACACATTAACGATATTCATCAGGTGATAAACCAGCAAAGAACACTTCTCCAAGACGTGTTAACTATTGTGGAAGACACAGTTGTTACAACAAATTTGCATTCGGAATTAATTGCCATATCCACTGAGTTGCACCAAAGTCATGACTTATTTAAGCGTGAACTTCTATTTCTGCATGACCCAATATTGTTCCACACACTTGCTTTTCTTGACGAAGTGCAAACTGGAATGATCGAATTGGCAGGGGGTCGCATACCTCTATATTTTGTATCCAAGGATATTGTTCATGCGATGCTTGCCAATGTGGATGGAGAGACAATTGAGCCTATGCAATTAAATCTGGCCTTTGAGATGGGGAGCGCTATACCTCTCTTAATTGATCCGGAGCGTATGGAGATTTGCTTTTTATTGACCATACCATATGTAACTCCCAAAGACATTTGTCAAATGAAAATAATGTACTATGTTAGAAATGATGTGATTGCACAATATGTCTGATAACTTCTATAGTGCTTATTCATAAGCTAAATTAATTTTGGCTATGAAATGCACTAAAGGGGGGTTATGTCAGAGTATTTATATCGGCAGACATTTTGTGCTATGATAGAAACTAAAAGTGTATATTCTGAGTCACTCTGAACAGACCAGACTCCATTTTGTTATTCCAAGTCAAAAAAAACAAAGAGACACAGGATTTCTTTCTGTAAGACTGGCCTCTTTGCCAGAGCTAAGGAATGCATAGCATAGTATAAACAAGTGATAAGAGGAATATAATCAAATCTAAACCCAGACAATTGTGACAGAGAAGATTAAATAATTTAATATTTAACTGTCTATATATATAAGGTACCATTGTATGGAAAAGGGTAAACTTAGTTCATGATCTGCCATATCAGAAATTATAGCAGATTTGCCAGACACATAGTCTGGACAAAATTTAAGAAACCCTTTGATCTTTGAAGGATACGTAAGTTATAGTGGTCATTTGAGATAAGCAAAATGACGTCAAAATAGCCACCAGGAAAAATTAACTCTTTCCTGGATAGGTATGTTTAGTGGGACAAGACTGCCCTCTACAGACCAAATAACTAATTTGCGATCTGGAAGATAACCACACCTCTAGTACTTCTATTGGGTTATCAACTGATGACGTACAGAGAGTCTGGCCCTTTAAAAGTTAAGACAAAGGGAAGATAGAAAAAGACGAGAGAGGAGGCAGATGCAAGATATGCAAAGGAGAGGAGAGAGGAATTGGAAGTTTGGGGACTCCAACTCGGACAACATCTGAGACTAACACTCTACTCCTAAAACTCAACACTTAGAATTTACTGACTTTCTAACCAACACCTCCATGCAGAGAGACTACCAATCGGATGAAATATCTACTCAACTGGTAATTATACTGGTTTCATTTAATTAATTAAATTAATTAAAATGTATTAATAGCATTATATATGACTGGATAAAGCACGGTCAGATTTCCATATTAAGAAATCTTAGTTAACTAAGAATATATAGTTATAAATATTCCATTCTGCAGGTGGAATTAAGAATAATTATATATTGATGTGATATTATCACGTGTTAGCATACCGCTGTTTTTATCCAGGTGTATTGATTTGCTCTAAATTAAGATAAGATATCTTTTAGACAAATTAAAAATCTGCTTATATAATATGGTAAATTCTCTTATTGGATGATTTCAGGAAACGGCTAATGAACTGGTTAAATGTTATTTTATTTAAAATTACATAAGAGTAGACCTTAACTACCTAGGAGATCTAGCCAGCATTGAAAGGGTTATTCTAACTGTCTGCTAAACTTTACGACCTTACGCTGCACTCTGAGGAATTCTGTTCTTCGCTGTGAAAAGTTTCACTTAAGTCTGTGTTAAGGATACCTCATAAATCGTCAGAATTCTTGACAGAAAATGCCGTTTAGCCATTGAAACGTAATACCCATTTCTTTGTATTGCATATAATTTTGTACTGGATATTCATTGATTATTGTCATGCATGTTGCATAATATTATTATTAATTAATTTATTTGTCATATAAATAAAATCTATTTTTATACATTGTGATATTATTATATGAAATACATTCCACTTAACACGATAAACGTTCTTTGGGATCTGAGAATTGAATTAGTGGGCAATTCTCAACTGTTTACTATTATTATCCCATAAATATCCCCACACTCTAACCTAACTCTACACCTAACCCTACCCCTAACCTTACCCTACCCATAACCCTACACCTAACCTTACCCTACCCAAAACCCTACTACTAAACCAACACTAACCCTACCCTAATGCTACCCCTAACCCTACTCCTACCTCTAACCCTACCTCCAGCCCTACCCCTACCGTAACCCTACACCTAACCTAACCCTACCCATAACCTAACCCTACACCTAACCCTACCCCTAAACTTACCCTAACCCTACTCCTAAACCAACCCTTACCCTACCCTAACTTAACCCTACCCCTAACACTACCTCTAACCCTACCCCTAATCTAACACTAACCCTACCCTAACCCGAAGTGCCGAAGTTCTGAATTGTCGAAGTGCCTAAGTTCCAAAGTGTCGAAGTGCCGAATTGAACCCCCAAAGTGCCGAAGTGCTAAAGTCCCGAATTTTGGAATGGTGAACCGAACCAAATATTTTTCCCATGCACATCCCTACTATTTATCCTTACAGGATGGGCCTGTGTCAGAAGAGAACATGCTGAACAACAGAGATGCCACTAGGACGGAGCTTTGGCACGAGGCCCTGGAGGGTGTACAGTGTCGGCATGGTGAGTCTCCCCAGCGAGGAGCAGCGGCTACAGGTACATGTGGCCCTACGGCTACCTCTCCTTGGAGAGCAACCCCTGGATGAGTGGGTGGAGAAACTGTGGCACCTAACCCGGAGGGAGTTGTGGCTGGACGAGATGTACCGGGCACTAAAATGGGATGCCAGCTGGCGCGACAATTGATGGCAGGATGCCGGAGGGAAAGGACTATGAAGGCCCACGCTTATTGTGGGAGGCCTTTGAGAAAGACGTTGACTTTGGCAGCTGGGCAGAATTTTGGCTCTGTGAAATCCACAGCACAAGGAAAGCACTAATGTGTCTTCCTAGAGCTGATGACCTCAGACCAGACCTGATCTATCTGGCCACCATAGAGTGGGAGCTGGAGCAGCATTACCAACATCTGCTCAGCTCAATTCGGCCCCAATATACTCTGCAGGGAGAACAGGAGAACTGGGTGGCGGACCCAGACTTACCACACTACAGCTGGGGAGACCTGGCCGAGGTACCCCCTACTTCACTACCAGCCCAAGAAATAGGAAATATACCAGAAGAGTAGCCAGCTGGACCCTCTTCCTAATTACAGGGGAACCTTACAGACTGGTCCTTTGAGGAACCCCAACTGGCAGGTGGAGATGGGACGGAAGTCTCTCCACCGGCCCTACAGGGATGTTGGGCAGCCAGCCCAGATCCCCAACCATAGCCGAAGCTACCCGCAGTAGGGACAGTCGGTCCTATTCCCCAGCGGCAGTGTTCCATGCAGGGAGAGTAGACAGCCTGTCTGTCTCCCCAGCTGCAGCTAGAGGTACTGGGAGAGGAGACAACCGGCCCTTCTCCCCAACTACAGGGGGACAGCAGCCCTGACCCCAATGGTGAAGTTGGGACTGCAGTCTCTGCACCAGACCTATAGGGATGCAGGACAGCCATCTCAGATCTCCAACAGCCCCAGCAGGAAGGAGGTAGGCAATCCCTCCCCGCAGCAGCAAACCCATAACTGGGTCACGGGGGTAGTGGATGAGACAACCGCATCCATTGAACCCATCCCAGCGGAAGAGCTGGCATTTGGGCAGAGCGCCGCTGGCTTCTGTCCCACCTGACCCCTTGTTACAGGGCAGGACTATGTACCAGTCCCCCCAGTGGAAGAGCTGGTACCCGGGAAGAGAGCAGTTGCCCTGTCCCCTCCCCTTTCCCTTTGTTCAGTGCCTGAATACCCACAGGCCACCCCAGCAGAAACGCTGGCTACAGGGCAGAGCGCCGCTGGCTTCTGCCTCCTAAGCCCCGGCTGTGCCAAGGCTGGGAGCAAAGGAGCAACCAAGGGTGATGTACCCCCACACAGCAACCTGAGACAGACAGAACAGAGCCTGGCACCGGCGACTACCCGACCAACTAATTGTTTTTGGGTTGGTTGCCCGACAGGTAACTGGTTAGTCTTCCCTTGGGGGGGAAGATATGTGGTGAACAGAACATTACCACAGGCTTTTGGAGGGGCATGCTTGCTAGCCTTCTGCCAAAAGACTATGGGCCAGGTCAGTGACTGTAAAGACCCATATTTTATTTCCCCTGGTTCAGCACTTTCTATAGAACCAAATTCTAGCTCACTGACAGCCGTTCGCATGGACCAAAACCGCGAATAGACTTCAGGGGGACTTAGCCGCGAATGCCCTGGAGCTATTTTCGGCATGAAAAGTTTGTGGTTCCCGGTCGGTCCCCCAGTGGCACTTAGCGCGCGATTCTATGGAACTGTTTTGGGCACGGGACCATGCGTGCGGTCAGCCAAAACTATGACTTCCAGGAAATTCCTGAAGCCCTGAAACAATCTGGGTGATTTTTGTATATGTTCTTCACCCAGATCGGGGCTATCAGGGGATATAACTTATGTGGGGATTTTGTATGTTTTACAGGAATTGTGGGGGTTTTATAAAATTTGTGTTTTTGTGTCTGGAGATAATTGAGTTAATACAGTACTTGACTCAATTATCTCCCAGGTACAGAGTAGGGATTGACCTAGTTTGTATGGGAGTGTCCTGGATCTGAGAGCCAATGTGATTGTGTATTTGTTTCTACTGTGGTTTACTTTCAGGTCCAGGTGAGAGTGAGCCTTGCATGGGGACTGTCATAAAAAGCCTATTGTGGTCCCATTAAAGTCAGTTCACTTTGCCCTCAACACGCAGCCTCGTCTTGTAATTGTAGAGAACAGTTATACCAGCTAAACCTGCTTCGGATTGCTATACTGGCTATAATCACTAGCTCTTGTAAGAGCTACACAGCTATACCTGCTAGACACTCTGGAGTAGGAGAGGTCCACCCACTGGAAGCTGGATCCTGGGTTTGGGTCCAGGGTGGGAGGAGGACAGCGAGAACCCAGCCAAGCTGCGGCGGCTATGGGGCTACAGTGCTTATAGTGTCCGGTGCAGTGCTTATAGTACTCCAGGCTACTAGGAAGCTGTGATTTGCAGAGGCACCTAGTCGGGGTGCCATGCGGTCCATCACAGTGCATATCTGTAAGTCTGTTAATGTGAGTGTTTGTCAGTTTGCATGTCTGTATGTCAGTGTGTGTATGTGTCAGTCTGTGTCTGTATGTATGTGTGTATCTGTATGTCTGTATCTTTGTGTGTGTGCCAGTGTGTATCTGTATGTCTGTGTATTGTGAGTGTGTGTATCTGTATTTCTGTGTGTCAGTGTGCATATTTGTATGTTTGTGTATATGTGTGTTTATCAGTGAGCATATTTGTATGTCTGTGTATCTGTGTGTGGGTCAGTGTGTGTATCTGTATGTCTGTATCTGTGTGTGAGTGTATCTATGTGTATCTGTGTGTATTTCAGTATGTATCTATATGTCTGTGTATCTGTGTGTGTGCATCTTTATTTCTGTGTGTGTGTCAGTGTGTGTGTCTGTATCTGTTAGGGCCAGCCTATCCATAGGTCCCATAGGTCCCAGGGACGGCATTTTGCCAGGAGAGCCCAGTCTGCCCCGTTTAGCTTGTCCGCTGGAAGAGTGCTGGAAGCCATTTAAAACTAAAAGAAAAATCATAGGAGTCTGGAGAGGGAGGCTGAACTGGGGCTGTCCTTAGGGTTATTTCCCACTGAAGTTCAGGAACTCTGAGATTACTAGCTGTGCATGCTGGAATGTCAGCGGGAACTTTACTTACATCAATTTGTTGCATGGTTGTTGCTGTGGGCTGGCACCTGGGAGCGTCAGAAATCCCCTTTGTGTCTGGCTATTTGTGCTGTAACGACCACATATCTAGCACAGGCGTCGAGACATGCATGAGTTGGACTGAGCCAGCAACGGTGTAGACAAGAGGAGCGGAACTGCAAGGAGTCAATTTAGATTCCACTTCAGCTAGGATCCACCACACTGCGGATACTAAAAGGGTAAGTAATTATTAGCTTCTATGCACACCAGTGTTAATTTTAGCGGCAAATTTCAATTTAGTTTTAGTCATAGTCTTTTGACCTAAAAGCCATTTTAGTTTTAGTCATACTTTAGTCATCTGAATTCTTTTAGTTTTAGTCGGCTAAATCTCCAGTAGATTTTAGTCAACATGACTAGAATCTAGTGGGTTAAATTAAAACCTCTGTCTGTTTTGCCTCCCCCAGTCCCGATGTGTCTCATTGCCTCAGTGCCAATGTGTCTAATTTCTTCTTTTCCCTCCTCCATGTGTCTTACCCGCCCGTGTAAATTTTTGTGGCAAATTTCTATTTTGTTTTTTTAACTGTTTTTTTGTTTGTTTTTTTTTACTAAAAAGCCATTTTAGTTTTAGTCATATTTTAGTCATCTGAGCTGTTTTAGTTTTAAGTCTAGTTTTAGTCAACCAAATCTAAAAAATTGTAGTCGACTAAAAGGGTTAGTCGACAAAATTAACACTGATGCACACAGTTTTTCCAATCCCAGCACACACAGACACACTAACATCTCCAGCACACACAGACACACTACATCTCAAGGACATACACACACACACTACATCCCCTGCACACACACACTACATCTGCAGCACACACACACACACTACATCCCCAGCACACACAGACACACTACATCCCTAGCACAAACATACACACTTCATGTCCAGCACATACACATGACATCCCAAGCAGACACACACACACACACTACATCCCAGGCACCCACAGACACACTATATCCCCAGCACACACAGATACACTATATCCCCAGCACACACAGACACACTACATCCCTAGCACAGACATATTACATGCCCAGCACACAGACACACTACATCCCTAGTACACACACACACACTACATCCCTAGCACACACATACACACTACATCCCTAGCACAAACAGACACACTACATCCCCAGCACACACAGACACACTACATCCTTCTACATCTATGTATATGTATGGCAGTTTTTGTATCTGCACGTGTTTTTATCAGCATGTCTGTTCAACTGTATGTTTATTAGTGTTGTAATCTGTTTGTCTGCATGTGTGGCAGTGTTTGTACCTGTGTGTCTTTACATTTGAATGTTTTAGTTTGTGTATATGTATGTCCTTGCAACTATATGTATGTCAGTGTGTGTATCTGCATGTATGCCAGTATGTGCATCAGTGTGTCTGTGCAACTGTATGTGTGTCACTGTTTTTGCCTGTCTGTACATCATGTGTCAGTCTGTGTGTCTGTATCTATGTGTGTCACTGTTTTCTCTGTGGGTACGTGTATGTGTGTCATTGTACAGCACTATGGAATCTGATGGCGCTATATAAATAATAAAATAATAATAATTGTGTCTGTGCAACTGTATGTGTGTCTCTTCATTTGCATGTGTATCTCAGTGCTTGTATCTGTGTCCATGTATCTGCATGGGTGTCAGTGTGTGTATCTGTATTATGTATCTGTATGAGTGTGTCATTGTTTGTGTATGTGTGTCAGAATGTGTATCTGCACGTGTCTCAGTCTGTGTGGAACAGAGGAAAAAAAGGAGATGGGACAGAGAAAAGCATATACATTTGAACTAACTACAATATTTACAAATATTTCGCTAATATAATGGGTACTATTTATGGAAATGGATTGCCAAGGGGTACTCTAAGGAAAAAAGGTTGGGAAGCACTGAATTAAACTAATATCATAGACCAGTATCCTTTAGAGCGCTCCTCCCATATTCCCCTCTTATTATGGCCGCAGTCTGTTACCATTGCATTCACACATCCTCCCCCTCCAACATGGCGCCGCCCAAGATTTTGGGAAGTTACGTCAGGACAGTAAACAACATGTCGGACGACAGACTGAGGTGGGAATTGACGGCCCTTGGCTTCACACCGGGACCGATCACCGACACCACCAGAGATGTACTCAAAAGGAAGCTGCACCAGCTGCGCACAGAGTCCATGTACAGACGGTCAACTAATGGCGGTGGGAGCAATGGGAACGGAGCTGTGGGCGCAGACCATGACAATGGCCATTACGAGGAGGGCGAGGAGGTTTACGATGAGACTCTAATCGATAATGGAGACTATTGGAATGCACACGGATCTAGTTTGCTTGCAGGAGGGGCAGGGCCCACTAGGAGGGCAGTTCAACGTCGGTCCTGGGGGCCAAGTGCGGCTCCGAGGGAGGTAGTGGGGGCAGGGAGGAGTGGGCCCCTGAATACTCTGCCCCTCAGGTGGAGTGTGGGAGCCCCTAGCCGGGATCACGGCCCACAGAGAGCCCCACCGTATGGGGCAGACAGTCTGAGGAGTGCGGACTATGTGAGCAGACTGCCAAGTGAGGTCGGCACGGGGAGATTGGTGGCGGAAAACAGAGCTTTGTACAGGAGCCCCTACCAGGTCGATAACTATAGTACATACGACTCGCTAGCAGCGAGAAGGGAAGAACCCTCTGTGTCTGCCAGGGATGGTGGCTCTGTGAGACAAAGGAAACCAAGCTGGACCCGTAACCTTGAGTATTATCTGTCAAGACTACTCTGGGGTCTGTCAGTAGTGCTGGTGTTGGTCTTCATTGGGATGCTGGTTGTAAAGAGTGGGATGCTGAACGCACCGCAGGAGAGCAAAAGTAAGTCACTTTGGCCACTCGGAATTTGAGAGAAGTGTTTACAATAATGGAATAGGTCTGATACTAAAGTTATCCCCTTCAAAGCATGATTTATTTTTTTAAATGATCCCTAGCACAACTCTTAATGGAACACTCAAAACACCTAAGCAGTTGTCCATTGAATGGACAGTAGATAACAACCTTAATACATCTACAATAATAAAGAGAGGCAGTAAGTGGTTGTAATGTCTGAAGCTTTTTTTGTTTAAAGGGGCACTTTGGTTACAAGAACAACTGCAGCTTAACCCCTTAAGAACACATGACGTGTGACATGTCATGATTACCTTTTATTCCAGAAGTTTGGTCCTTAAGGGGTTAATGTTGTTCTGGTGTCTAATGCTTTTTTTTATGTAACACTGCCATTTCAGAGAAAAAGGTAGTGTTTAGATTACTGCTTAGAAATACCTGTAGTGGCTATCAATCAAATCGACACTACAGGTGCTTCCTGGGTCTGAAGCACTGAAGTTTAGCGTCTCCACAATCTGGAGGAGCTGAACGTTCCTCATAGAAATGTATTGATTCAGTGCAAATGTATGAGGAGATGCAGATTGGCACAGCGTGGCATTTTGCTATGGGAATGCAGTGAATAGTCAAGTTTGATCTCCACCAATGAGGCATGGCCAGCTGCGAGGAGACTTGCAGACACGGTGCTGGGCTAAAGGTGAGTAAAATCGCAGTTTACTTTTTTGACGGGCAGACAGACCCCTAAACTATACATCAAAGAAGAATTGGGAGGTGCATAAATTGTCACTAGCACACAGTGATTAATACTTAATCTCAGTAAGTGTAACACCTCTTTGATCACTCTGTAACAAGATACAAAAGCTAACATAGCATAATACTATAATCACATACTGTAGCGGACCACGGGTAACCCGACCAGTTACCTCTGCTAAGTTCTTCCCTCCGCCACTCTGGAACCCCTTAAAGTATCAAGAGTCCCATTCCCCTCCCAGTAACTGGACGAGACACAGCTCTGGAAATACAACACTAACCATGCCTTATTGGTACAGGGGGCTCTCCATTCAATTCAATACAAGCCCCAGGCTCGAGGGAGATGGCTTACAGATAACCATCTCCCGCTCTGGGAGATACCAACAGCACAACAATTACAAAAAATAAGATAAATTTTGCTCAGTGAGGGGAGGCGTTCCGCCAGCCAGTCAGGGAAAAGAGCGCAAAAACAAATTGCGCCAATCAGTGCTCGGGTGGGGAAGTGTTTCTAGAAGCTAGTTTAAACTGAAGCTCTTCTCCTATTGGCTGGCATGGACTTCCAGGCGGCCAGCGGGACCTTGCAGCCGTGAAGCCAACTCACAGTTCCAGGGATTCTGCTGTGGCTCGCGTCTCTCCGGTGGTTATCTCCATGTAGGTAGCACCAGAGAGAGAACTCCTTGGGCCGCAACGAGCCTGGAATTGTACCTCCCGGGTAGGAATCCGCTGTCTGCCCTGCTGACAGTCTGGCTGCAGGCAGGAGGCCCCTGGATTGTTTCCGGCCAATGATTATGGCTCCCGTAGGGACAGGTAGGGTGCTTCCCCCCCCCTGCAGGAGGACCTGAAACACTGTGGGCAAGCCTGTGGGTACGGCACTCAGTGACGGTCCGTCACACATACAATGATCAATAGTAGAGGCAATGGGTCACTCACACTTTCCAGAGCCTTTCCAAGCAGACTCTGGCTATGTAGGCTGGTAAGTAATATAGCTGTTTAGGCAACAAGGCCCACTCTTTGATCCACTTCATTCTTTTGCTTCTAAAATGAAGTTATTCAGTGGAGTTTAAAATAAATTTACCCCTGACTCGACTGGGATACATCACTTCCCTGGTAACCAAATACTACTGCCGCAACGTATACTAACAACAACCCCAAACAAGCTGGATCTCCTGACACAGACCCCATGTCCTCTCCCCTACTAATTAATTGCAATTCACCCAACCCAACCCCTTCCCTCGGGGGGGGGGCACGGGGCCCGGCAGTTGGGGGCACACACACCGCCTCCAACTTGCCCACAGACAGAAACCTGTAAATACTACCCCCTCCCCTTCCATAGACCCATAACCCCCACATCTCTGATACCAGACCAAAACCAGGTATATGCAAACCCTGCATAAAAGTCTTCATAGAGAGAACTAGGAGACACAACCTAGCACTCGAGAAGGCACAGATTGGAGCAGAACCGCCTAAAGGGCATCCAGCTGGGTGTGCTCTCCCCTGAAGGAGAAATGGCACCGACCTCTTCAGCTAACATTTAGTGTACGAGACCACCCACAATAGACCAGAGAGGGACCGAATTCTAACAGAGCAGATATAGACTAAACAGCAGCCCCGACTACCCACAGCACAGAGAGCGGGCGGGAAACACCACAATACTATCTGGTTCTTGACCTGGCCCCTTTAAAATACCCATCCCATATCCCAACTTTGTAAACTAATCGACTGTCACTCATTACCTGTTCACAAACCTGATTGTATCAACACGTGCAAATGTACTTAAAGGGAAACTCCAGGCACCCAGACAACTTCTGCCCATTGGAGTGGTCTGGTTGCCAACTCCCACTACTCATAACCATGCAAGTGTAATTATTGCAGTTTTTTTATAAACTGCAATAATTACCTTGCAGTGTTAGCTCCACCTCTAGTCACTCTCTACTAGACAGCCACTAGAGGGCACTTTCTCCTTTATAGCAAAGAAAACCTGTGAGGGCCTCCAGCGTTGCTCAATTCCCCATAGGAAAGCATTGAAAAGCATTTTCAATGCTTTACTATGGGGAGCTCTAATGCGCATGCGCGGCCGGTGGGCGGGATCAGTCTCGCCCACCGGCCGACGTAATGCAGAGGAGGAGCGGTGGCGGAGGAAGAAGCAGCGATGTGGGACACAAGATGACAAGTGTTGACACAAGGCTGACCGCTGTCTTTTGGTTTTGTGCCGTCAGGTGTTATATCCCGCTAGCACTGGGGAGACCCAGATATCACATGATACCTATCACTTTCCTTTATCAGCTGGAGCCGGATTTTTAGTGGCACTGAACTGACCAATGCGCCATGTGCAGTGTTTGACGTGCACAGAGCCCTTTAAAATCCCAATGTTTGAATGAACACGTGATTATCTCAGTGTTCGGGGGTACTGGATTTGATAAAAAAAATTTTTAGCTGGGAGGAAGGAGTAGCCACCACCTAAATGGCAGTTTCCAAACTATAATTTCAGGAATACTATATTGTTCCTTTAAAACATTGCTGGGCTGTTTTGCAGAAAAGGCAATGTTTACCTATTCCATTTTAATAGTACCCCTGCCCTCCACTAAATTTTAGCAAGATTTAAATACACATTTATCTTACTGATTACTTACTTTACTTTTTATTTTATTTTTTTTAGTTAATCAGCTTTCTGTTGACTGTGAAGGCAAAGATGACCAGGTAAGATTTAATTTTGTGATTCCAAATTTGCAGTACTAGGCTTGTACTTGTTTTTTTACTCCTCTTCAATATGATATAACTGGACTTTATTATTATTATTATTATTATTATTATTATTATTATTATTATTATTAACATTTAGACAGCACCAAATTATTCTGCAACACTTTACAATATTATAAAGGGCGAAATTTAACAATAGGTTGATGAGAACCCTGCTTAAAGAGTTTACAATCTGCAGCTTACAAAAAAATATAAAAATCTATACTCACCAATATGAATTAATCCTACCCGAGCTGACCCTTTTATAAATAAACCTAGTTACAACCCACTCCTGTGGTTAGCTGGTTGTTTAGTTTAGTGCAGGTAATAATTTCCCAGATCTCCGTCTTGCAAAGCCTTCTTATTGAACTGTACCGGGAAACTTATGATTGGACAGCCACAGGAAGTATGGGTGGGGTTAGAACTGGAGAATTAAAATGCTGGAATGTTTAATTTTTTATCTTTTTTATTTTTTATTATTCTGGTTGATGTGTTTGGTTTTATTTGAGCAGTCTAGTGTCCCTTTAAGGAATATTCTGGTACCATAAAAGGTATTTATTTGTAGATTGAGACAGGGATTTCTTGTCTCCCTGCAGATAGCTCCTTTTTAGTTTGCAAAAGCTGCTTTGGAAATAAGTGCACAGGGTGAACTCATACCACACAATTTCCCACCTCTGGTAATGTTCTGTAACGGATCACCTGTACTCCGACAGAGTACCTTCCGTTGATGGACGCTTCCTAGCTTGCGCCAAGGACCACAAGCACTGCACCGGACACCACAACCACCGCAGACACCAACCGCCGTAGATTAACTGGAGTCATGCTGTCTTCCTTCCACCCTGGATCAGCTTTTGTCCTCCAGGGCTGTGTGGAAGTCACATCTCTCCCCGGCAGCAGCCAGCATCCCAGGGAGAGGAGATTGTCGGTCCCTCGTCCCTGCAGCAACCATCATCACTGGGAGACAGTCGGTCCGACTTCCCAGCAGCAGTGTCTTGTACCGGGAGAAGAGACAATAATACAAAGCACTGCTGTAAAAAGCAAAGAAAATATATATATATAATCATCTCAATCTCTATATAATCTCTATCTAGCACCAGTACTGTAAGTATAACCACTCTTGCTGTGGAAGTAATTAAACTGTAAATTTCAAAAAAAGTCAGAGAGGAGTCTGATCTTCAATATGTATTATTTCATAGTACAACCTAAAGCATAGGCGATTAAACCAACTCGGGATCATGAGACAAAAAGAGTGTCCGGTCTTAATGAAATAGAAGTGAAGTCTCAAGACCACCGGGTTCCCCTGACGCGCGTGTTTCGCCCACAGCTCATCAGAGGGGAGCCGATGTGTGGGAGATAGCAGAATTATACGATGGAACGTCAGTTCTGATAGGTGAATTCAAAAAACGGCAATACTTGATTCCCCAATTGAAATCCAACTGGGCGGTGACGTAATGGGTTGGCTAAAATTAACCCTAAGGGTTAGAAGGGAAATTAACCCTAAGGGTTAGAAGGGAAATTTTTAACCCTTGTGTATATCTCTCCTTTTTAATTTGCATCTTGACAACAAACCTGCTACAATAAAGAGACTAAACTATATATAGCAGGCCCGGACTGGCCATCGGGCACACCGGGCAAATGCCCGGTGGCCATGGGCTGAGGCCGGCAGGGGAGGTCCCAGGATCTCCCCAGCCGGTCTATGCAGGGCCCTCGCTATCCGAGCACCGGCCCAGCTGTTTTCCATGGAGGGCCAGTGGGGAGGTCAAAGATCTCCCTCACCGGCCCACATGCTGTCAGATCTGGCCGCCGGCGGGGAGAGAGGGAGGGAGCCAGCTGCCAGGAGAGGAGGACCCGGCGGAGCTCTAACTTGCAGCGGCAATGCTCCAGATATCGCGAGAGTGAACTCTAGCCCCACAGGCTATACGGGCTAGAGTTCACTCACCCACGAGGACCACCAGGGAACACCGCCTCACAGTCCAAGGTGCCAGCGTGCCGGTCCCCCCATCCCAGGCTAAAGGTAAGAAGGGAGGGGGGATTTAATGCCTGTGTTTTTTTTGTTTGTTTGTTTGCCCCCCCTCCTACACACACAATATCCATTCTAACATTTATACAGCACACACGGCACTCTCTCACACACGGCACTCTCTCACACACGGCACTCTCTCACACACGGCACTCTCTCACACACATACTGCACCCCTCACATACACACAGAACCCCCCCAACACACTGCACCACACACATACACAATACTTCCATATATATATATATATATATATATATATATATATATATATATATATATATATATATATATAATATACACACACACACACACACTTTGGATCCCTATACACACACTAGATTCCTTGTAAGCAAACACATACTACACCCCTAAACACACACTACATTTTATTTATATATATATATATATATATATATATATATATATATATATATATATACACAAACAAAACCAACGTTGTGGCAGGCTTATGCAATATATGATCATATAATGTAACTAAACCCCCATTATTTTTTGCCTAGGTGAGGTGTTTTTTAAATAAAACTATTACAATCTCTAAAATTTTGAAAGCATTGTTTAGTGAATAAGCGAGTGCGCTGGATTCTGTATTTTTTATATATATATATATATATATATATATATATATATATATATATATATATACACACACACACTTGCTATATCCCCAATACACTCATTCTCTACAGCCCATAGCCACATATGCATCACATTACACCACTTTACACCACAAACACAACATGACTAAAACCAACCTTATTACACAATACCACACCACAATCAGCTCACTCTACACACACACAATACCACAAGCAGGCTCCAAACACATGCACAATACTCTTTCCTGGCATTTTTGTCTCCTGGTATCCATTTATAGAGACACCAGAGACAAGTTGCAAGGAAACACAGTGCAAACATGTTTTTAAATTTGCTTGCACTGTGCAGAACAAATACATGGCTTTTTTCTCATGCTAGAGCTCTTCAGCAGAGCTCTGCGCATGGTCTGCCCTGGGAGAGCATTGAACCAACATGCTCACTTTGAGAGGGGGCGTGTTTGTCATTGGTGATGACAAAACACACCTCCTCTGCCCCGCCCCCTTCTTAGTGGGCCGCTGTGTTGGAAAAAATGCCCGGGCCGAATTTTTCTCCCAGTCCGGCCCTGATCTATAGCCCATGTGAATTGCAAAACTTTGTTTTGCACACATTACTAGATGAAGGTTTCTGAACACTTTTGAACAGAACCTCATTAGGATTATACACATCTCAGCGATTATCACACATTCACCCTTCAGTTTATCTAGTTATCTTTTCATTATCAAGCTATTCATTTTTTTTCATATACACACACACTTTAGTCTACTTTAACTTTTTAGCTTGCTATTTCCCAATTTCATATAGGTGTATCATCATATACACTTCTTCCTGTGGCCAGCAACAATTGCTAGCTTTTACGGACTACCAAATGCTCGGTGAGATACCAGTTGGTAGAATTACATATGTTCATTAATATTACCTATTTCAGCCTGGGAATTTGTCCATTATATTTTACTTTTAGTGGTCCAATATTTATACATTTTCCATTGATAAGTCATTTATATGTGATTGTCACAACTGCTGCTTTGAGCAGCATGGATCAATACAAGAGTGCTGGCATCATTATAGATCTTTTGATTACCCCCTTACTGTTACACATAACCAAAGAAGGGGTGGGGGAGCACAAATCAAGCAATGGATTATCATCTAATTGCTGGTTATTGACTGATTGCGTTGGATTACATATTGGGCACAGATTCTACAGGTGCAATGCAGTATGTATGCATGGAAAAACCTTAAAAGCTTTGGCAGAAGTTAGTGGTAAAATGAGAAACAAGTGTAGTTTTATGAGGTTTATTTTAACTGTGTTACTAATTTTGCACTAAAGGTATCTGCACCAGTAAAACTAGTGCTCAGAGTTGTATTATTTGAAAACTGTAATGAATTCCTTAAATGTTTGACCTTATTATTACATAAACGCTTGAAAAGTGTATGTAAGTTGGTCTAGCATGTAAATGTTGTTACTACAGCATGTTCTATTGTATTTTACTGGGCAACATAACTTCATTGGAGTGAAGTTATAGTGCCAGTGGGTCTTTGTTAAATCGTTCACAATTGGTTTGACCTCAAAGTCCATTATCCAACACCTGAGGAAACCTCTGCTAGGGTCGCAGCTGAATATTCTACAATATTTTTACAGTGCTATATGTAATTGCTGTGTTTTTTTTTTTATGGCAAACCTTTTTATATTGATATATACATTTTGTATAATTTGTCATTCATTTGCTTTAACAAGTATTTACTGAATATAATTTATAATGTTTTGTTTTCCCAAATAGTTTTGCAAAGACAATGAAAAGAAAATTACTTTCCAAATCTTGTCAGAATTGTTTGACTTTCTGTCTTTGGAAGCTGGTAGGTATAAAATGGCTTAAAGTATTGGTAGTGCATTTCAATACTACATTGTTCATTACATTATTAGTACTGGGTGTCTATTACAGACAAACAATCAGATAAAGTACTTTCTTAGAAAAGGTAAACTTGCTGTAAATTATGAAGAGCAACCTTTTGTCTTACAGATTTTATTGTGTGTTGCCTCGTTTAACCTTGAACATTTATGCACCCTGAAGGAATAGACAGTTCTTTCAAACAAGGCATTAAACCTTGTAAAACCTTATTTTGTCTATTCTGGAGTGTTACAAATAATAAAGTGTCATGTAGTGTTTGTTTTAAAGGAATACTATATTGTTAGGAATGCTAAGCTAATACACTAATATCCCTCACACCCCCATCCATGTGGCAATTAGAGCTAAAAACTATTTATTTTTTAAAACACATACTCAATTCCAGGAAACCTAATGCACATGCACTGCGAGCGCCACGTGCTCATTAGACCTTTCCCACAATGTTTTCACATGGGGATTCGAAGACGTTGGACGTGCTCCTTTACCACATTTGCACCTTTTAGTTGCTGTCTGGTAGACTGCTCTTAAACTCCAATATTTAAAGGATTACTATAGGATCAGGAACACATACATGTATTCCTGACCCTATAGTGTTAAAACCACATGCATGTTAAAACCACATGCATTTTAAAACCACCATCTAGGCCTCTCATGCCTCCATAAAGATAGCAAAATCTTACTGTATTCAAGCCTGAAGCGGTAACTCTGCATGCTATTTGCCTCAGAAAAACAAGCAGTCTGCTGACATCATCAGAAGTGGTAGCCTGATCCTGATTGGCTGAGACTGACAAAGAGGCAGAGCCATCACAATTCAAACACAGCCATGGCCAATCAGCATCTCCTCATAGAGCTGAATTGAGTCAATGAATCTCTGAGGAAAGTTCAGTGTCTGCATGCACAGGGAGGAGACACTGAATGTTTGGATGCATTTTAGGCAGCCATGACCCAGGAAGGATCTCTAACAGCCATCGGAGGAGTGGCCAGTGAAGTTATCACTAGGCTGTAATGTAAACATTGCATTTTCTCTGAAAAGACAGTGTTTACAGAAGGTAATTATTCTATTCACCAGAACAAATTCCATAAGCTGTAGTTGTTCTGGTGATTATAGTGTCCCTTTAATATTCCACCCCTTTCTTACTTTTTATAAAAGTGCTTACAAAAGCAGTTGGTCCTGGTAGATTTGAAGTAAGACGGATAAATTCAAAATGTTTTTTTGTTTTAGTTTTTTCCATGAAATGAACATTTTTAGCAAATCTCATGCATAAAATAAACCGTGCATATCAAATAAATAAGGAAGGAAATTGCAATCCTGTCTGTCATGTCAATATAGTATAGTCCATTCATCTAGTAAAAGATTTTTATATGGAGGCACAGAATTTTACTTTAAAACTCCCAAGCATATATATGTTGTGAAGCAGGTTCTTGCCCATCACTGGAAAGAGTCAAAGGCCAATGGTTATTCAACACGTTTTAATAGAAGGATCCTTTCATGAATGGGTTGGGTCTATTATTATCTTCAATCTATGTACATTCCAAGCATAACTTTCAGATTTACTACCATCACTTGTTAGTTTGCTTATCATGGACTTTGTATCAAAACCAGGTTTAGAGTCACTTTAATTTAGAGACTCTTAGGAATTATATTATTTTTGCATGGAACTTGGGCAAGTAAGTGTTTGAAAAGTTCTATATAGACACTGGTCTTCCCAGCTTCACTCCCTGTGCAGTGAAGTAACATCGTCACACTGACTGTCAAGCTCAAACATTGGGTCAGGTGTATGCATATGGATGAAGGACCCTGTCATGTACAAATAGGTAGGGTTTAATAAATTTGTTTAACGTATACTTACCCTAAAGAATCAATTTCCTTTCAAAACTTGATGAAAGGGTCATTATATTAAATACTATTGAGGGGAAAGTTCTCCTTTTTAATGTGACATTATAGACAACCAGGCCACTTCATCTCTTTGAAGTGGTCTGGGTGCACTGTCCCTATCCCCTTAGATGAATATTTGAGTAGTTAGCCACGCTGTACATTAGAACAGTGTACCACAGGTGTAAGTTCATGACATAGCAGTCACTGTAATGTTCTTGTAAATGTTAAAAAATATCATTTGGTAGAACACTGGAAGAAATTAATTTCAGTCATTACTTTATCAGCTCCCCATTGCATTTGTTGAAGTTGTTATTCCAGTGGTTTTTAATTACTTGTTTAGGCAGTAACCTAGGTCACAATTTCAAGTAAAGTGTTTCATAATCCCTATTTATAAACCATGAATGAGCAATTAATGCCATATGCAAAATGTCGGACATTATCCAAAATCCTCTTCTGGGTTAGGCACTGTAATTATTAATATGGTTGTAAAATGTGTACTTTCCTCAATTTTAGCTGTTATGACTCTAATTATGGCAATCATTAATCCATAAGTGTTATTACAGTCAGTTGGCTGGAAATTGCTGGCCAGGTGTTACTAATCCACAACGTGTGCGCATATGATACATTTAATGTAATGTGGGATTTAAATGCAGAGAGGTTACATCTGTGTGGTTATCCTGAATGTATGTAATCTCATAGCATGTGAAGTAGTTAGTGGTAAATGAAGCTGGTAACTGACAGGCATGGTAGACAAAGAGAGGGATCGTTCGGCGTATACCTTGCATATTCTCTTTCTTGCTGTTAACTTGGCTAAACCATCAGATTTTGCCTAAATGTTAAGCATTTTGCTTTTGCTGTATATGTTTACAATTAATTAGTGTGTGTGTGTGATATAGATATAGAGATATATATATATATATATATTATTATATTAAAATTTTTATTTTGGATCTACATCCAAGGACATCGGTTGGGATACACTCTGTATTCTAAAGACATTAACAGGAATTCAATTCTCCATGCATCAAGTTTTCACCCTAGGAGATTGAAGAATCCCTGCCTATTTCTCAATTTTGCAGGGTCCTTCGTAATAATTCTGACCCAAATAAAGCATCAGAACAGTTACAACAGATGCACCAGAAATTCCTGGAAAGAGGTTATAATTGTGCTACCTTGACAAAAGCTTTACAGAAGGCATATGTCGATTGAAGAACCAGTAGATCGCAAGGTGATAGGTGATCGGCTAATATTCCCTCAATCATTTCATACTAAATCACATAATATTGCTGCCATCATTCGTGACAACTGGAAAACACTTACAAAGGACATATCATTACCGGCTCCCTTCAGACGGACTCCAATCATGAGTTATAGAAGGGGTAAGAATCTTAAGAATCATTTTGTTCATGTGGATCAATTTACCAAAATCAAAGATGAATCTGCAACCGTCAATACTGGTTGCTTTAGATGTCTTAGATGTATTGCTTGTAATTCCATGTTGCCTGAGAGAGAGTTTGTACATCCGAGATCTGGCAAGAAGTTTAAAATACGACATAGGATCACTTGCACCACTACCCATGTTGTGTACCAGATTGTATGCCCATGTGGACTCGTGTATGTGGGCAAAACGTCTAATGATCTCCGTGAGAGAATGAGGGGACACCGTTCAACTACACGGACAGCGTTGGCAAACAAATGTGCAAGTACTCCAGTGGCACGTCATTTTTTTAGAAATGGGACACTCTTTGCCCTCATTGAGATTTATGGGGATAGATCATGTCCCAGAACTGTCTAGGGGTGGCAACTGTGAGATGCGGTTGCTACAAAAGGAGGCATTTTGGATTTTTACATTGGACACTGTCTCCCAATGGACTAAATGAAATGAATTCACTTCAATGCTTTCAACCAAGAAGATGGTCTGTGATATGCGTTCCACGGCATAACATGTATTCTAAATTTTTAGTGATATTTAGTTGCTCTACCCATTTTCTAGGATCTGTTATATTAATGAGTATTGGCATTATGCCGACTAGGTTATGGATAGTGGATTTTATTATTTGGCTGGTTATGAATGAGCTATATGATTAAGTTAAGATCTAAATCCAGTTCCATAATCGACTAGTAATGTCTGATATGAGCGTTTGTAAATACTTTATTTTGTTGCTATTTTGCAGTAAGATTTTGTTGATAATTTAGTGCACCTTGTGGCCATATATCATAGTTTATACTGCTCTTATTTGGCTTTTTACGAATGAGTTAGTATAATAGAGTTAAGATTCAAACATATTTCTATAATTGACTAGTTATGTCTGATAGGAGTTCCTGCAAATACTTTATTTTGTTCAAGACCAAACCTTGTTGTTATCCTACAGTAAGAATGTACTCAATGCATTTTGTGGTTAAAGGAACACTATAGTCACCTAAATTACTTTAGATAAATAAAGCAGTTTTAGTGTATAGATCATTCCCCTGCAATTTCACTGCTCAATTCACTGTCATTTAGGAGTTAAATCACTTTGTTTCTGTTTATGCAGCCCTAGCCACACCTCCCCTGGCTATGATTGACAGAGCCTGCATGAAAAAAAAAACTGGTTTCACTTTCAAACAGATGTAATTTACCTTAAATAATTGTATCTCAATCTCTAAATTGAACTTTAATCACATACAGGAGGCTCTTGCAGGGTCTAGCAAGCTATTAACATAGCAGGGGATAAAAAAAATCTTAATTAAACAGAACTTGCAATAAAGAAAGCCTAAATAGTGCTCTCTTTACAGGAAGTGTTTATGGAAGGCTGTGCAAGTCACATGCAGGGAGGTGTGACTAGGTTTCATAAACAAAGGGATTTAACTCCTTGGATTGAGCAGTGAGGCTGCAGGGGCATGTTCTATACACTAAAACTGCTTCATTAAGCTAAAGTTGTTCAGGTGACTATAGTGTCCCTTTAAATATCAGAGTTTATACTGCTTTTATGTGTAGATTTCCCCCGTGCTGATACATACTTGGACCCGGAGTAGTACGAGTTAACAGCTGTCTCTAATAGTGAAACTCTGTAGCTTGGTCAGTATGTGATACCACTTTGATTGTATACTGATTGCTCCGGTCCAGTATGTATTCTCTGCTTGAGGAAAACATTTTATGTTTTGTATATATGTAAATAGTTGAGTTTTTTTTTTTTCACTTTAGGTATGTTTAATGGTTTTATTGAATACTGCATATATAATTAATCACTTTAGTAATTGGTACAATATGTTGTACTCACGATTTACGTGATGTAATTGAACTTCGTTAGTGTTCCTTTACCCTCCAATCAACAGTTCAGTGTATATTTAAATGCAGTGAGTCACGTTGTTAGATTGTCTTGAAAAAAGTCCCTAGTGGACTGAAACGTCGACCCTATGTAATCAACTTTTGAAGCTTGAATAAATGTGCACTTCCAACAAGGTATTTCATATTTTGAGGTCTGAGTGGTACCTAGGCAATAAATAAGACTGGGAGCAGGAGTGCGGGACCCAGCGTGAATTATTTAGATATTTTATTTTTTGTACTTATTGGTGATTAACCTGTATATTACATGGCTGAAGCATTTAAGGTATTACTGATTTTATTTTACTCTTCTCCCTTTCTTATTTACTCTCCACTCGCGTTAGGCAGATTTGATTGTGGTAACCCTACAGGTCTGAAAAGCAAATGCATCCCTATTATCACAGCAAGAGCACATGTCACTGTAAGTACAGGCTTAATGTTTGTGCTCCACTCCACTCAAATGTTTCTTTTTATTTTTTATTTTTTTAATATATACTTTAATAGTACTGTGTGTTTCCATAGAATATCAGTGGTCACCCACCTCAGAAATTTGATGCTGCTCTTGAATGGGTGCTGAAAAGTAACAAACATTTTGGGATATGGTAAGTGACAGAGCTTGATGTTTTAAAAGTTAAGGAAATAAAGGGAATATGCCCTATAAAGTAAAAATCTAGGGAAACATTCTAAATAATATATTTTCTAAGTGAAGTTAAAAAATATTTAATTGCATTTTTTTTTTTGTCTGGTAAATAATCTTGATAATTTATAAAGTTAGTATTTTAACATTTTATGTCAAATTTTCCCTGCAGGTTTCACTTTTAAATTTGAAATTCACTTTGAATTCTCAATTTAGTGAATAGTCCTGTGTAGTTGTATAAGGCGCACACATAGGTAATTTTAAATTTAAGGTGAAAATTGCCAACAGGCCCAACTGTGTAAATTCTCTAAGCAAGCTTTGTTTTCCATTTATATACTGTGGCTTTAAGTTAAAAAAAAATCACTTTGAATTCTCTGTTTAGTAAATAGCCCTGGAAAAAAAAGATTTTTTTTTTTTTCTTGAGCACAGGGTGAAAGGTGATACTACAGAGACAGTCACCACAAGAGAACGCGCCTCCTGTGTGGAATCGTCAAGACCTCGTCTTGGAATACTTTGTAGATTAAAGAATGCATTTTGCACTGTACTTTCCACCATGTTCCTTGCTGTTTTTGGTGAGCTTTAGCTTTTTCTATCCATCTTAAACTGAAAAAAATAAAGAGTATGTCCATTTATCCCTGTATATGGACTTTGTGTTTTGCTTGCTAAAATAGCAAAAGTTTGTGTGCAAACTGGTATTTATGCATTTTGAGGGAATTCAAATTCTTCTGTTAGCAAAGTAGTTGGGATAATATTTTCTGCCATCAGAAAAATTCAAATGCCAAGATAAATAGCAAAGGAAGACTAAACCTTTGAGCTGTTTTGTTGCCTATTAACAAAATATGAAGATTTAGAATAAATATTTATATAATTTTGTTACATAAGGCTGAAAATGTACTGGAATGGTTGGTTTGTGTTCTTTGCTACACAAAAGTTGGCCATGCGTTCAGTTGAAAATAAGCACATCTGATATATATGTAATAATATATTTCATAAAAAAGAATCCTGTAGGAAAGGTTTTTAATGGATTCAATCATTATTTATTTATTTTTGCCTTGTCTGAAGACACAATTATGGTTTGACACCTCTCTCACAACAGACCTAATTGATTTCTTCCGTGGTCTGTATATGTTGCTTTTGCTTCTTTAACAGTATTTAAAGGGGCACTATAGTCACCAGAACAACTACAGCTTAATGTAGTTGTTCTAGTGAGTATAAATGTTCCCTGCAGGCATTTTCATACAAACCGCAGTGTTTTCATTGCCTCCTAGGGACACCTCCAGTGACCACTCCTCATATGGTTAATGGATGTTCTTCCTGGGGCAGAGCTGCAGTGTCCACGATTTTGCATGGAGATGCAGAATTTTCCTCATAGGGCTGCATTGATTCAATGCTTCTCTGTTAAGAGGTGGAGATTGGCTCCATGCCTAGCCAACTGGCTAAAAATCATAAGATTTGAAGATGTCCGCAAGGAGGCAGATCTGGGGTGGGTACAGCGCTGGCGAACTTAAGCGGCGCAGAAAATAAGGTACGTTTTTTTTACTGATTTATTTATTATTATTACCACCTTTTTAAGAGGGGTTAACAGAGGACAAGCCACCTAAATGGTAATTTTAACACTATAGGGTCAATAATACATGTTTGTGTTCCTGACCCCATAGTGTTCCATTAAGTAATGTAATGTTTTGTTGGGGTAGAGTTGTTCTGATTATTTTTAATCAATGCTTTCCACAGGTATCCTCCTCCTTTGGTTAGTTGTGGTTTTTTTGAGATATCATTGGAGAAAACTAGAAGAAGAAGAAAAGCAGATGTTTGAGATGGTGGAGAAAATAATTGGTATGTAATTCAGTATAGCATGCCTAACCTAAATGTCACCTGTTATGCTTTATAAACACATGAAATGCATCAGCTAACAGTTGCCTAGGACATCAATATCACACTTGACACGTATTTACAAACAAGATGCTTAGTTTTATATGGTGGCATTGAAAGGGAGGAGTTTTGGCAGAGCTTCATTTATAGTCATTCTGATAAATGTATGTTTTAACAATGTCTATTTTTTGTTTTGGGTGGTATGTGCACCATTGGGAGGGTTAGGGACCCTGTAGCCCAGGGATGCCCAATAAGTAGATCCACAAATGTTTTAAAACTACAGCCTTCATGATGATTTGGCATTCTAAGAACATGCAAAACATCATGAGAGTAGTAGTTTTAAAACATTTCTATTTTTCATTTAAAACCCATTTGTATTCCAATCCAAAAAGTTATTTAGGGGGAATAGATGGGGGAAAAACAGCTTTCAAGTAGTGAGAAAGTATTAAAAAGGTAAACGTGAATTTAAGGAGCATGCTCTTACTGTATTTTTATTTTATTTTTTCCTCTCTCCTCTTTCTCTTAAAGATGCTGTGAAATCCCATTATAGAGAATTTATTCAAAGGACTGAAGATAGTCCTTATGTTGGCATTGTGCATGTCAGAGACACATTAATACCTCCCCAGGACAGGTGAGCTGCTGTTTTATAAACTTACACAATTTGCTATACTAAACTCTGAAAACGTGTCTGTTTTAACATTGGTACAGAGCGCAATCATGTATTTTGAGGATGATCTTTTTCGTAAGTAATTTTAGGTGGGGAAAATTTAAGGCACACATTAAAAGCTTCCTACATCTGTTTCTTAAAATGTAAATTATACTTTATTTTTTTTTAAACAGGAAACGTCTGAAAAAAGTATGGGAGCGTGCAGTGCAGTTTGTGGAAAACCATGAATCGCGGCTTCGTACTGAATCACAGCGTGTCGCGGGGGCCGATTTAAGAGTATGGCGTTGGACTCCAGTCCTCAGCGAATACAGTGGCATTACATCTGCTCAAAATCTTTAACACATGGATAAAGATCCATGTACTCAAGTTAAAACGAGGCGCCTTACACTGTGGGTTGGAGTTTGTTGCAAAAGCATGCGTTCCTTTGCAATACTCTGTGGCTAAAATTGCTTACAAAAAGAAGAAAGTTGTTGTAAATTCTTATATAGGGAAGTAGAAAGGTACCAAAAGAGTGTTGGTTGCATCAGGAAATATGTTTGACTGTTTTTATTGCCAATTAAGAGGTGTAGATACAGGAGTAGGATTCTTTGTTCAAAGGTGCGACTTTTATTTTGGGTATGGTAGACATTTTACAGACACAATCCCTTTTTTTTGGTGATCAGACTTTCTGATGGAAAACCACCTTTAAAATTTATACAGTTTTTGAGTGAAGTCTTTAACTATTCTGTGCCTGTACGAACATTAGTGTTTGCTTAAAAGCAGAATTATGTGATATTTTTCAACTGTGCCCTTGCTGCTTGTTAATGCAAAACCAGAATATCCTAATTTTGTGTCTAGCATTTTGTATAAACTCCAGCACTAGTAGAGGATTTCGGAGGCACCTATTTGAAGCTTAACGGTTTTATAAGAAATAAGAGGGAAAAAGGGTGGTCTAAGATGTATATTGTTCTCGCTGGGGCACATAGGAGTTTAAAACACATTCTATCTTCTCGCCTGGCTGCTGCTGTTTGGGATTGCTGCTATTTCTGCACAGCCGAGATGCTATTTGTAAGAAGCAGCAGAAAGGCAAACCAGTCATGTGTCGCAAAATAACACAACACCTGCACATCTAGAATTAACTGTTTATTCAACAGTGGACTATATATACATGTTTAGTTTGGAATATTGCAGTGCTGTATAACACTAAATCTATATATAATTATAAAGAATGTGTTATTGTATAAATAAGAGTGTAGTGCTCTTTTTAACAAAACCTCTCAAAGAATTAAAATTTAGTTCCATGTCTGTATTTGACAGTGTATTCTGCTATAAACGGCTTAACAATGCAATGAACCATAGATGTTTGAAAGGGATAGCAAACTTACATTAATGTATGTTTAGGCTAGCATATTACCTTGCTTTTCTCTGCCCAGTATGTCCGTTTTGAATGTTATGAAACATTCATAATGGTTTTTCTGTACATTTTAATTTTGAAGACTTACTGTAAAGACGAGATTTAAAAGAATACAACATCCCAAGTGCTGTAATCCTACTGAATAGCCTATAATGTTTTTGGTTATTATCTTGATGTTTATGGTATTTGAACCTTATATATGTAGCTAGCTAGTTTTGATTTGGCCTTGTTTAAAATGTAAAAGTAAACACTCTCAAAGGAGAATTAGATCATTAATATGTGGCAAACTGAATAATAAAATTGATATGTATTTAAAGAACAAAAAAGCCTTTCAAATTATGCAGAGTACTTGTTTTATAATACATTGTGTGTGTGTGTGTGGTTGCACTGACTACACACAGATGAGTTTAATGTGATGTGTAAATAAGCTCTCTGTCAGTATGCAAAGCTTAAAAATATACCTATCCAGAACTGGTTGTGCAAACGCTACCCCCAATTAAAATTTACTGTTTGTATGGAATGCGTACAAGCAACAATACCAAATTGTAGGGATACTGTAAATTCATATGAATATACATTTTTACTTATTTCCTAAATAGTTTGTTTATGAAATCTGAAAAATAACATGTAGTGTAGAGATTAGCACTGCTGTATTTACCTCTATGCTGGAATTTAACACCTTCATCTTGGCCCTGTGTCAGTCATTATTATAAGGACATCTCTTTGAACAGGTCAGTCAGGATAGAGATATTGATCTGGTATGTGTTTGGCAAAACTGTCATGTGGATAGAGGTTTTCAGCAGTTGAAGATGATTATTTTTTTTTTTTTTTAGTATGTTATGTGATGGCGTATACTTTTTTTTATTATTATTTTTTTTTTTTTTGAGAATTGACTGCTTCCCTGTTAGTGTGTGTGTGTGTGTATTTAAAAATATATATATTATACACAAAATAACATAAATAAGTGTGCCTATTTATTAATACAAATTGATAAAACAAGCTGTATAAACCCATGATGTAGGAATGCTTCAATACATATTGGCTTTCGTGGATATTAATAAATAGCATCCAGTAATACATGTAGAATGTACCAATGGGTAATAAATTGGTTTGGTTTTGTACGCATAGAGAGAGACAAATATATTTCACTGTTTCATGCATTCTACATTTTGTTGCCTGTACAATCTCAAGTATTTTATAATTTCAAGATCATTGCCTCATTCATTGAAACATTTTTCCGTGCCTGTTAATGCTGATTTATACAGTGATAATGAAAACCCTGCCACTGTATAAGAAGCAAAGTATCTCTTCACAGTTAGTATTGGATAAGAGCATAGGCTTGCATATGTCTGCTCGGTCCATTTCCTTCCATATGATGCAACCTCCAGGCAAATATCTTTTAAAGGCAGCGTTATTGAAGCACAAAAAAAAAATAGCTTTTCTCTGTATTTATGAGTTTTGGAAAGGGGACAGAATTTTAGATTATACATGGCAGCTATTATTACTAAAGTTACCCATCATCTCACAAACTGTTCATTATCCTTGTGCATCAATATGCAAAACCACATATACTGTCAATATATACATGCTCCAGGCATACCATTTTCATTATCTGTATATGCTCGAATAGTAAAGCACATTATCTGTGATGTAGATTATTTGCATTGCAGTACTGTATGGTGTGTGTGTGTGTGTGTGTTTTGATAGTCTGTTTTATATGTTGAATGATAGGCTAAAGGAATAATTGCAGTATGCGTAGTCTGTATCATAAAATATACCATAAGCAATTTAATTTGTTCTTGAGCATAAGTGGTTTGGATACTCCTGAGACTTTAATATTTTAAGGGGTGGCAAGATGTGAAACCTTTTGCACTGCAGTCCACTTGCCTATCTGTCTCTATTATGGTCATTGCTGATGTAACAAACTGTGCTCCAATGTTTTGTGTTTGCTTTTTTTACAATCTGAAACCCTAGTGAGACAGATCAGGGAGCATTTCTAGGCAGAGATCAGATGACTAGAAGTATATCAGTATGCACATTTTTCAAGTCTGTATAATTTATTTTTTGGGGGTTGGTAAATGTTTTATTACAGTATAGTTTTATGTTGTAAGTGTTCACTTTTTAGCATTGATACATACTGCTGCTCCTCTATAAAGGTGTGTTCTATTTTCTATATCCATATATTCTATATGGAGTTTGTGTTGTGTCCCAATATAGAAACCGTTGAATAACAACTCCAAAGATGCATTTGTATGTTTTTGTTTTTAGCTGAAAACAAAGCAACCTTTCATAATTGTTTAAAATACATGTAGTTTCATACAAGATTAAAAAAATGTTTTTTAAAAGCAAATGTTGTATTTCTTTGACCTTAATTTGTGTTTACAGTTTGATTTTGTCTGTTCTATATATTTAATGTGAACCTAGTTCCATAAGTGTTCTATCAGCTGAAAAAATGCCTTCATGTTTTTATAACTCTGATGGCTAAGTCATGTTGACTAGACATTTTATAAGAATTAAAGGGTTCCCATCATATATTCACTTTTTATCAGCACAGTTATTTCATGATACTGGTATATATTTTCTGATGAGGACCATTCATCCTGTAGGAAGGAGGTCACTTTTTAAAGTCTTTGGTATTTTTTAGTCTTATCTTAACCCCTTTGTGCATTCTAAATCCTTAAAGAGGGGGGGGATTAAAATTATTTATATGTATGTATATATATATATATATATATATATATATTTTAACAGTTTAGTAGATATATCCTCCAAAGAGAACCTGCAAGTATATTGCATTTTTTTTTTTTTTTTCCTGCATGTTTTCTTTGGAAAGATGTGAAGGGAAAGCAGCTTGCAAAGGGTGAGTAAAACTTTAACACGTGACATTACACTGTGCCATTATTTATGTAACAAGGATAAACCCAGAAAACGTGTGGAAAATTAAGTACATCCTTACTACTTCTATATGAATTAAGACAGGTGCTACTAATTATATGGCCTTGATTAATTGATCATCAGCACCTCTATAAAAGCCAAAGGTGTTTTTGTTTTTTTTTGCAGTTTGCTGGTCTGGAACATTCAGGGGTGTGTGCGTTTTTAACACTATGCCAAGGAGGAAAGGCAATGATCTTAGACAACCAATTGTTGCTGCTCATCACACTGGGAAGGCCATTTCTAAACCATTTAAAGTTCATCATTCTATAGTGATAAAGAATATTCAAAAGTGGAAAACTGTGCAATGCTCAGGGAAACATTAGAAGAGATACATCTCAGATTCTCCAGGCCTCCATTATCATGCATATGTTCATGAGAGTGCAATTAGAAAAATACCGAACAAGTCTGGTTTGTTTGGAAGGGTTGCCTGAAGAAAGCCTCTTGTCTTTAAAAAGAACACAGCAGCACGGCTTATGTTTGCAAATTTGTATCTGAACAAACCATAAGACTTTGGTCTTATCTGTCCAAAGAACATTGTTCCAAAGTGAAGATGTGTGGCCATGACACACAGTGCCACATTTGGCGAAAACTAAACAGCATATAAACACAAACACCTCATACAAACTTTTAGCCAAAGGACATGGGAACCTTGCAATCATTGAGTTGACTACCAACCCCTCTGTATTCCAAAATACAGTCAGGTCCATAAATATTGGGACATCGACACAATTCTAATCTTTTTGGCTCTATACACCAACACAATGGATTTGAAATGAAATGAACAAGATGTGTTTTAACTGCAGACTTTCAGCTTTAATTTGAGGGTATTTACATCCAAATCAGGTGAACGGTGTAGGAATTACAGGGGTGTGTATATGTGTCTCCCACTTTTCAAGGGACCAAAAGTAATGGGACAATTGGCTGCTCAGCTGTTCCATGGCCAGGTGTGTGTTATTCCCAGGGCCAGATTAAGAGCCCAGTGGGCCTGGTGCTGACAATTATGACGGGCCTAAGTACAGAATCATATCGACCAAAAACAGTAAAAGCGTCATGTATCTGATGGAGATGGTGCTGGAGAGAAAGAAAACAGCAGCTATAAGAAAACACATACCCAATGCTTCGGGTCATTGTCTATCTGCACTGTGAAGCGCCATCCAATGAGTTCTGAAGCATTTGGCTGAATATGAGCAGATAATATTGCCCGAAACACTTCAGAATTCATCCTGCTGCTTTTGTCAGCAGTCACATGATCAATAAATACAAGAGAACCAGTTCCATTGGCAGCCATACATGCCCACGCCATGACCCTACCACCACGCTTCACTGATGAGGTGGTATGCTTTGGATCATGAGCAGTTCCTTTCCTTTTCCATACTCTTCTCTTCCCATCACTCTGGTACAAGTTGATCTTGGTCTCATCTGGCCATAGGATGTTGTTCCAGAACTGTGAAGGCTTTTTTAGATGTTGTTTGGCAAACTCTAATCTGGCCTTTCTGTTTTTGAGGCTCACCAATGGTTTACATCTTGTGGTGAACCCTCTGTATTCACTCTGGTGAAGTCTTCTCTTGATTGACACACATACACCTACCTCCTGGAGAGTGTTCTTGATCTGGCCAACTGTTGTGAAGGGTGTTTTCTTCACCAGGGAAAGAATTCTTCGTTCATCCACAGTTTTTTTCCGTGGTCTTCCGGTGTTGCTGAGCTCACCGGTGCGTTCTTTCTTTTTAATGATGTTCCAAACAGTTGATTTGGCCACACCTAATGTTTTTGTTATCTCTCTGATGGGTTTGTTTTGTTTTTTTCAGCCTAATCATGGCTTGCTTCACTGATAGTGACAGCTCTTTGGATCTCATATTGAGAGTTGACAGCAACAGATTCCAAATGCAAATAGCACACTTGAAATTAATTCTGGACCTTTTATCTGCTCCTTGTAAATGGGATAATGAGGGAATAACCAGGGCCGGATTAACATAGGGGCTGATGGAGCTGCAGCACCAGGCCCAGGCCCATGGAATAGGCCAATTGATTTATTAAAAAAAATTTTGTTTTTACATTTTTTTTTTTTTTTGTTTGTTTCACACACTACACTTAGGGATTCCACCTAGCTTTTATTTTACTGGCACAGCCAGTATTTGAGGCTGCCTAGCTGGTGCCAATATTGCAGTTATACTGGCAATACAAATGCTGGTATTTTTCTCAGTATAAACAAGAGATTACTATGCAATACCAGCACTGGCCAGTAGGTCGCTGTGTTTTAAGACAGACAGGGTTAGGAAGTTCCAGCTTATCCTTCCCTGCCTATCTATACTCCCTGATCTGCAGGGGTGCAGCTACAGAGAGTCCAGACAGCAACTCCCACCCTGCAGAGACAGCCTACAGCTCAGGGAAGTAAGGGATGGGGGGGAAAGGCTGCAAGGAGACATAAACTGAGACACTAAGGGACACTGGGAGACATTATGGCAGACACTGAGACACTAAGGGACACTGGGAGACATTATGGCACAGACACATGGGTACCCAGTGACCCCTAGTTTCCCAGTGCCCCCAGTCTGCCAGTGTCTCAATGTGCCTCCATGTCTCCAAGTGTCTCAATGTCCCCATGTCTCAATGTCCCCATGTCCCCCAGCCAGTGTCTCTAGTGTCCCCTATTTTCCCAGGGTCCCAGCCAGAGTCCCCTAGTCTCCCAGTGTCACTGGTGTCTCCATGTCCCTAGGTCTCCCCGTGTCCCCAGGTCTTCCCGTCTTCCTTGTGACATGGGGACCCTGGGGCATGGGGGCACAGGGAGACATGGGGCATTGAGACACTGTGATACATAGGATCACTGGGAGACCTGGGGACATGACACTAGGGGACACTGGGGGACATGGGGCACTGAGACCTGGAGTAATCGACACTGGGGGACATGGGGCCACTGTGAGGGATCCATCTATATAGCAGAATCAAACTAAGTAGTTTTTTTTTGTGGTGATTTTACAGCATTTTCTCTTATGTCACTCCTTGTGATTTACGTCATGTGATGTCACCCATACATATTTAATTATGCAAATTAGCAAGGCCGGTATGTTTTTCCAAGAAAGGTGGCAACCCTAACTACTTTTCACCTACTCTTACTTAAAGGACCACTATAGTGCCCTGAGGGTGCCCCCACCCTCAGGGTCCCCATCCCGCCCGGCTCTGGAAAGGGGAAAGGGGTTTAAACTTACCTTTTTCCAGCGCTGGGCGGAGAGCTCTCTGCCTCCTCTCCTCCTCCGTTACGCCCCGCCCTGAATGCGCAGCGGCAAGAGCTGCTTGCGCGCATTCAGCCCGTCTCATAGAAATTTACAATGCTTTCCTATGAACGCTGGCTCTCACTGTGAAAATCACAGTGAGAAACGCATAGCGCCTCAGTGGCTGTCAATGAGACAGCCACTAGAGGGAATAGGGGGAAGGCTTAACCCATTAATAAACATAGCAGTTTCTCTGAAACTGCTATGTTTATTTAAAAATGGGTTAACCCTAGCTGGACCAGGCACCCAGACCACTTCATTAAGCTGAAGTGGTCTGGGTGCCTAGAGTGGTCCTTTAAGTATGGAAACTTAAGAGGGATGTATGGGAACAAAACTTGTGTGGACTGGCTGACAATGAAAATAGCTAAAGGAACACTAGAGTCACCAGAACAACTACAGCTTATTGAATTTGTTCTGGTGAGTAGAATCATTACGATCAGGCTTTTTGCTGTAAACACTGTCTTTTCAGAGAAAATGCAGTTTTTACATTATAGCCTAGTGATAACTTCACTAGCCACTCCTTAGATGGCTGTTAGAGATCCTTCCTGGGTCATGGCTGCCTAAACTGCATCCAAACATTCAGTATCTCCTCTCTCTGCATGGAGACACTGAACTTTCCTCGTAGAGATTCATTGATTCAATTAATCTCTATGAGGAGATGTTGATTGGCCAGGGCTTTTTTTTGAATCGTGCTGGCTCTGCCCCTGATCTGCCGCTTTGTCAGTCTCAGCCAATCCTATGGGGAAGCACTGTGATTGGATTAGGCCGCCACTTCTAATGATGTCAGCAGACTGCTTGTTTTTCTGAGTCTAACAGCATGCAGAGTTACAGCTTCAGGCTTGAATACAGTAAGATTTTGCTATATTTATGGAGGCATGAGGGGCCCAGGGGGGGCTAGATGGTGGTGTTAACACTATAGGGTCATGAATTCATGTTTGTGTTTCTGACCCTATAGTGATCCTTTAAGGTAATGCTGACTTTGGTCTCTCTAACACTGTGGCATGTTCCCTTTCTTCTACACTCACTACATACAGCTTTTCTCTGTCCCAGACTATATACCAGGAGCTTCTGCCTGCTAGTAAGAAGGTAAGGAGACAAGTGGACCAGCGAGTGCTAGGGGACAGTCCTTAGAACGCGTTGAGCGAGCGCATCATTAGATGCATTTATGCCAAGCTCAGGTTGCTGTCTGCATAGTGTGCCCTTAGTTGGCCAGCTGCATGATTGGCAGGCAGTCTGACATGCAT